CAGCAAGGTGAATCAGGTTTTTGAATGTGTTAAATGACACCTTTATGTCACAACTGGTACAAGCACCAACTAGAAAGAATGCTTGTCTGGATCTCGTTATAACAAACAATGTTGATCTTTTGACAAACATTCAAGCAGGGGAGCATTTGGGAAATAGTGATCACAATATGGTAATTTTTGAAATAAACTCAAAAAAGCAAAAGCATGTGGGGTATACTAAAACGTATAATTTTTAAAAAGCCAATTTCAATAAGATTAGGGCAGCTCTACAACATATCAACTGGCATAAACTCCTTAGTGATAAAACACTGAGTATAAATGGAAACTATTCAAACAAATATTAGGTACATTTATTACCCATTGGCTTAGTAGAGAAGTAAAACAAGAGAGCATTTTAGAGCATTTAAATAGGACAAATCAGAGGCATCCTATATAAGATATAAGGAATCCAATAACCCTTGCAAAAAGGCAATTAAAGTGGCTAAACTAGAAAATGAGAAATTGATAGCCAAAGAATGCAAAACCAACCTCAAAATGTTTTTCAAGTACATCAATTCTAAAAAAAACCAAAAAACAAAAGTGTAGGTACACTGGAAACAGAGTTGGGTTTGTTAGCTAATGAAGACCGGGAAAAAGCAGAAATTTTAAATAACAATTTTTCTTAAGTACATATTAATGAGGATCCTATGGCAAGAGATATGCCAATGATTGCTGCAAAAACTTGTGATTGGATAACTCGAGACAAGGTGCTACAGCTATTAAAGAAAATTAATGTAAATAAAGCTCCGGGGCCTCACGGTATTCACCCACGAGTACTTAAGGAGCTAAGTGGGGAAATAAGTGAACCTCTGTATTTAATTTTTCAAGATTCTTTTGTTTCAGGTATTGTACTGGAGGATTGGAGGAAGGCAGATGTTGTTCCTATATTTAAAAAAGGGTTCAAAATCCTTGCCTGGAAATTATAGACCTGTGAGCTTAACTTCTGTGACTGGGAAAATATTTGAAGGGCTATTAAGGGATAATATTCAGGAATTCATTGGGAAGAACTTTGTTATTAGCAATAATCAGCATGGTTTTATGAAACATAGGTCATGTCAAACTAACCTAATTGCATTCTACGAAGAAGTAAGTAGAAGTATAGATCAGGGTGTTGCAGTGGATGTGATCTACTTGGATTTTGCCAAGGCATTTGATACGGTTCCTCACAATAGGTTAGTCTTCAAACTAAAATAAATTGGTCTAGATGAATATTCTTGTTCTTGGGTAGAACATTGGCTTAAGGATAGAGTACAACGAGTTGTCATTAATGGTAAATTTTCAGGCTGAACAAAAGTGGTAAGTGGTGTCCCTCAGGGTTCTGTTTTGGGACTGCTTCTATTTAACATATTTATAAATGATCTTGAAATAGGCATTGAAAGCCATGTATCAGTGTTTGCAGATGACACAAAACTTTGTAAAGTAATAAAATGTGAGCAGGATATTGCTTTACAGCAGAGGGAATTGGATAGATTGGGGGACAGGGCAGATGCAATTTAACGTAGATAAATGCAAACTTATGCACTTCGGGGTTAAGAATGCACAAGCAGTTAAGCAGAATAGCGAGATAACCAAAAACCCATAGCATGGCATATATATGTGTCCCCTCAGACCACCCCTTATGTCTCTGTGCATATTAGGATGGTACGCAACAATATAGTTTTAGTGGCAATTTTTGTGTTCTTTTTTTATTTTTTTATTTTACCTTCTTACTCAGTAACATGCACACCACGATTGCCGATTTACTATACCTATTATTATTGACCATAAGTTTACACCCTGTATTACCAAAATGTGCGACTGAAGTTTGTCATGATGATGTTTTGCTTTACCATGCCTGTGCATGCTGTCATGGCACTGCAGGCCTGTTTGTACATCTTGTTGCACGAAAAATAAAGAATTAAAAAAAAAAAATGCACAAGCAATTTACACCCTAAATGGTAGTGAACTAGGGATAACAGCACATCAGAAGGATTTGGGAATTGTTATAGACAACAAATTAGGCAGCAATATGCAATGTCAATCTGCAGTTGCTAAGGCCAGTAAGGTGTTTTTTCATGTATAAATAGGGGCATAAATTCTCGGGATGAAAATATAATTTTGCCTCTTTATAAATTGCTGGTAGGACCACACCTTGAATATGCTGTGCAATTTTGGGAACCTGTTATAAAGAAAGATATCATGGCACTAGAAAAAGTGCAGAGACAAGCTACAAAATTGATAAAAGGAATGGAGCATTTTAGTTATGAAGAAAGGTTAAAAAAATTTAATCTGTTTAGTTTGGAAAAACGGCGCCTGAGAGGGGATATGATAACATTATACAAATATATTTGAGGGCCAGTACAAACCTTTACCTGGAAATCTTTTCATAAACAGGGCTATACATAGGACACAAGGTCACACATTTAGGCTGGAAGAAAGGAGATTTCATCTAAGGCAAAGAAAAGTTTTTTTTTACAGTAAAAATAAGGATATGGAATTCTCGGCCTGCAGAGGTTGTTTTGTCAGAGTCATTACAGATGTTTAAACTGCAATTGGATAAATAATTGCAAAAACATACAGGGATATAATTTCTAATTAGTGGGGTAATAGCTGCTTGATCAAAGGAGACATCTGACTGCTATTTTGGGGTCAAAAATGAATTTTTTCCTAGTTTGTTGCAAAATTGGAAGTGCTTCAAGACTAGGTTTTTTTGCCTTCTTTTGGATCAACAGCAAAAACATATGTGAGGAAGGCTAAACTTGATGGACGCAAGTCTCTTTTTAGCTATGTAACTATGTAATGGAAGCCAAAGGAGCTGATGAGTTTTCCAAGTGAGGAAAAAGCATTGGGAAAGGTAGGAGGAGCATCAGGAGAGAGCAGTGTCCTGTAGACCGAGATTACGGAGAATGAGAAGAAGCTGTTGATGATGAACAGTGTCAAAGGCAGCAGAAAGATCAAGGAGAATTAGGATAGAGTAATGGCCTCGAGATTCAGCAGCGATTAAATAGTTGAATACTTTGGTCACAGCTGTTTCAACAGAGTGACAAACGCGGAATCCAGACTGCAGCGGGTCAAGCAGAGAGTTGGATTCAAGGAAGTCTGTCAATCTCACATACACAACTCTCTCAAGGATCTTGGAGGCAAATGGCAGTAGCGATATAGGGCGGTAGTTGGATGGGGAGTTGGGGACAAAGTTGGGCTTTTTCATAATCAGCATTATGGTTGCATGCTTGAAGGGTGTGGGAAATGTGCCAGAGGAAAGGAAGAGATTGAAAATTTTAGTGAGAGGAAGAGCAGGAGAGGGAGGCAGAGTGCTAATGAGATATGAGGGAATAGGATTGAGGGAACAGGTGGTGGGGCAGGAGGACTGGAGCAGAACGGAACCTCTTCCATTGTAGTAGGTGTGAATGAGCATAGAATAGCGGAGGGAATGGGGTTTGGTGATGTATTGGAAGTAGAGGGAGAGAGTTTAGAGATCTCTTCCCTGATTGAAGAATTTTTTTGAGTGAAGTGAGTTGCAAAGTTTGAGGCGGACAGGGTGGTAGGAGAGGGGGAGCAACAGGGCAAAGGAGAGCATTAAAAGTGTGAAAGAGTCATTTGGGTTTGCAGGAGAGTGTGGTTATGAGGATATTGAAGTAATTTACTTTTGCAGAGGAAAGAGCCAGAGTGTAGGAGAGCAGCATACATTTAAAGTCGAGGAAGTCAGGTGCAGATTGAGACTTTCTCCAACAACATTCAGCAGTTCTTCAACAGTTTCGGGTCAGCTTGGTGTGCTAGGGTTGTAATTGGGAATGCTTGCTGCATTTAAATGTAGGAGGTGCCATGATGTCTGGTTGAGAGGAGAGGATAGAGTGCTTTATACCAGTCCTTCCATTCATTTCTTGGAAGCCTAAATTGCTGTAACATTTTATCTTGCCAATCACATATTTATATCAACAGTCACTCATTCATCTTTTCTTAGATACACTCATTAACTTGCTTATTTCAGATTTCACTGGAATTGTATTTATTTATTTTGAAAAGATCAATAAGTCAAAGACCACCCAGGTGCAGTGATACACAATTTAGTATAAAAAGGTAATTACTTCCCTTCTTAGCTTTAGAAAAAGGATTCCTCTCAATCCTCAACAAACAGATAAAGTTATAGAATACGCCTAAATAAAAAACAGAGAAACCTCATAGGGAAACAACATTTAACAGTGAATGGCACCTGATATTTGAAATGCACTCACAAGCTCAATATGTCATTCAGGCATCGATATGGCTTTAAATCTTCTGAGAGTGATCATCATTCAGATATCCATATCCACGGAGGCATGTAAAGATATATAAACGGACATAATACAGGACTGCTGCAAACTGCAATTAACACACTTTTATTTATAAACACTTACAAGAAGTCGGTAGTTAAAAATAAAACATAAAAAATATATTTTTATTTGATTTTTATTATATTTGTTTTAATCGCCTGATACAACTGTGATCCAACTCTATTGATATTACTCTGGATGGAGGAACACAGAGATTGTTTGATGGGCTTTTAACTACCGACTGTGTCGATTGTTTATAAATAAAAGCGTGTTAATTGCAGTTTGCAGCAGTCCTGTACTATGTCCGTTTATATATCTTTACATGCCTCCGTGGATATGGATATCTGAATGACGATCACTCTCAGAAGATTTAAAGCCATATCGATGTGCTTGAATGACATATTGAGCTCGTGAGTGCATTTAAAAAATTAGGGGCCATTCACTGTTAAATGGTGTTTCCCTATGAGTTTTCTCTGTTTTTTATTTAGGTGTATTCTATATCTTTATCTATTTATTTATTTTGCATTAATGTACTTTAAAACCAGTTTGGTGTATGTTTCTTTTGCATTTTTTTGTATTAATCTACAGCTATCTTCTTATTTTATAGATAAAGTACAGTTGTCTGGAACTCTATCACGAGATATACTTCACCTGCTTAGAGGAGTGACAGATGGATCTCTTCATAAAGACTTTTCAGCAATATTAGATTAAAATTACAATAGCATTTTTCTGCATATGGATTTGTGCATACAACATTGAAGCAACATTATATTCATATAAAACGTAAGGCATGATGTTATTAGAACTCTGTTGGTCTATACAGTCACAATTTTTATAGCAGCACACTTCTGTTGTGTATATAATATGAAGAACAGCAATGTTATCGTAAAATGTTATTTTAACATAAATTTGGGATGTTTAAAATAGCAAAACAATTGTAGATTATGCTAGTGTAGTGTATCTATAATCTTAATTTTAATAATTACAGGAGACGAAGGTTTGCATACATTTCTTTACTGAAAACTCCAGCAGCACAGATCAATCAAAAGTTTAAACCAATCAAAAACAAACAGTCTTTGAAACGAACAGTCCCATAAAACTAGGATAGAAAACTCAGAACCAGAAATGTAGAAGAAATCTGAATGTCCTCGCAAAGGAAATCCAAACTGTAGCTGAACCGAAATCCAACCAAAATAAGAGGGAAAGTCTTCAAACTGAAAAGAACAAAAACAAGTGACAGGCAAGCTTAATGACTGAGTGCCAAACAAAGTCGTCATAACAACATGATGTTATAGAACTACATTATTAATGTACATGACAATCAAACCTAAACACTAAGATTACATATAGATGTTAAACAGAATAGAAAAAAGCAAAATAACAAATCCTTTAACAAAACAGTAGAAATAAGAACAGGGAGGGAGAAAAAAAGGGGGGGAAATATTTGCCTCCTGTTATTACTAAAATTAATATTATATGTACACTACGTTAGCATGATCTACAAATTTACCACATGACAGGAGGCTTCATATTTGCATTTTTACCGGTAAGGAAGTAGTGCAAAAGAAGCGTGAGAAGAAGCCTAAAAATAGAAAACCCGAAAGGTATCTTCACAATATCAATCCGCAGAACTCGTGATGTCCGCGAGGGAGGCACCTGCCAAAAATCTTGCGACTCCCCCGCAGCAAGGAATGCACACCAAAAGGAAGAGTCGATCCCGGCCAGCGGAAGAAAACAACAAACCCATCTCGCTAGAGTCATCGAAGAGACAGGGTTGTAAGGTTGCACATATGAAATGAGAGTTGGTGTAAGGAGTGCAAAGAATTGTCCAGCCAGTCCCAGAGGAAGCAGAGGACCCACGTCAACGTCAAGTATTTCAGGAGCGGGAGGGGCGGGTTAGACAAAGACCTCTCATGAGACAACAGACCATTGGTCATCCTTGTAACTAAACTTGCACTGCTGAAATGACTGAACGCAAAACGTTAACGGAGCTGTATGACTGACCTCACGAGAAAAAGTGATCAAGTAGGTGGGGCTGTAAAGGCATCAGAGTATCTCTCCAGACACCAGCTAGACCATTTGTTCCAGGATGCGAGGTAACATGTTTGCCCACGAATCTCATAGTAGATCCTGTGATAGTCCTTTGACTGCCCAGATACCCCTGAAACCACCAGGCCACAAGTTGCAGTTGGTGCTGTAGTATTAGAGGATGTGGTTCCCCTTGGGGATTGGACAGCAACAGTGGAAAGGTCAGTTGAAGTAGGGGGTGTTCATAGGACAGTTCCAGTAGGAACTATGCCTGACTCGGCCACAGTGTGGTGTAATCAGCAGCAGTGAAATCCTTTGAGTACAGACCTTGTGAACAACTCTCGTCCACATGGAGAATGGTGGGACTTGGAGGAATGCATCCACTGCTTTGCATTCCGGGTCTGGAAGCCAACTGAAGAATCTTAGGAGTTGATGGTTCATCTGCGATGCAAAGAGATCTATCAGTAGGGGACCTCTGCACAGAGACAGCATGTGGAAGATCATGTTTTGTAGTCTCCAGTTGCTGGAATCCCACCAGTGACGGGAGTACCAGTCCACCGTGAGGTTGGAAGTCCATGCTAGGTATTGAGTGATGTTCCATGAGAGACAAAAGGTGTAAATGTCCTTGGTCACTTCCAATAGAGCTTGTGAGCAAGCCCCGCCCGAGATGTTCTTCATGCGTAGCAGGAAGCAGCAGTCGGACCTCCGTTTGGCCAGACTGAGGATGATGTGTAGATCTGTCTCTCCATGTAGCCATGGTCCACCCGTGGATGAGTCTGCACAGTGTGCCCCCTAGACCCATAAACTGGCATCTGATTCCACCACAAATTCCAGTAATGGATCAAATATGGCTTTCATATGGAGAAGCCACCAGTGGAGTTCTGTACGCACCTTGGGGTTGAGAGGTATCAGCTGATCGTAGGCAAAGCCTGCACGTGGGTATCTGGCTTGCAAGGCCCTGTAGTGTAGAGGGCCACGGTAGACAGCTTCAGTGGAGGCGGAGTGGAGACACATTACCCGTGCAAGAAGATGAAGAGGGATGTTATCCATCCGTAGAACCTTTCTGATCTCCTTTCATGGATTCAATATTTGTACGAAGCTGAGCTAAGTCTGAACAGGAGGCCAGTGAATTGGCATGGAAGATCTCGCCAGCAGAAGCAAAGGAATTTCCTGCAAGAAGGTGCCACCAGAACCGAAACTTATGCGTCCTTTAGTTCTGGTCAAGTACACCAAATAAACCAAAATCGTCCTAAAGGAGCAGGTCACGAAGTTGGTAAATACCTTCCATTTTGAAATGGCACTAGACCTCAAAAGCGTTGAGTTGATGGAGGTTGATGACTGGACGGAAATCTCCTGTTTTCTTCCGCAGCAGAAATATATTTCTGGAGAAACCTCCCCCTGTCGTGTGTGTATTGTACTGCGCCTTTGGAAAAGCGCGCCTACATTTCCTCGTCTATAAGGATCCTGTGGTTGTGGTTGATGCAGGACTCCAATGGCACAGTAAATCGGTGTATAAAATAAATATAAAGGTATAAAATCAGTCTTACTCACACTTTTCAGAGCTCTGATCCTAGCTCTGAAAAGTGTGAGTAAGACTGATTTTATACCTTTATATTTATTTTATACACCGATTTACTGTGCCATTGGAGTCCTGTTTTTATTTTTCTCTCCACATATGCTGAATTCTCAACATTTGAAGATACGATCCCACCTACACCCTAAAGAATATTCCTTTACAAGTGGGACCTACCCTCACGGACTGTGATAAGCCTATTTTATTGGACTATTGTTTTATTACTTATTTTATTCTGTATTTTATCTGACTAATTTAGTCTTTTATTTTATCAAGTTTTAGGCGCATCCTTATATCTATGTTTGTTCTAGCCGGTGAAGAATAGCTGAAGTAGACAGATTAGGCCTTGGGCCGGTAGCTCAGAATCGGCTGGTGGCACGGCTTCTCTGTCGACCAGCCCATTGAAAAACACCCCCTGTTGGAGTGGATCTGAAGACTTGTCTCAGGGATGTCTGTGCTTTGTTGAGTGTCGTGAATAGCGAGACATGGTTCCTAAGCTTCGAGATAAATGGCTCACCAAATATGACTCAGCCTTTGGCTGAAGAACCCAATTCTTTATCAGCCATGTTCATGAGCTTAGTGTCAATTCTTAGTAGAGCTGCTCTACGTCTCTCAGTGCAGAGAGCATCATTCGTGTTTCCTAGAATGCAGATGCGACATTGAGCCCATTCTCGCACAGCATGTGGATCCAATTGGGTGCCCTGAAAGAGAGAGGGGCCTAGATTATCAAGTAGCTTATCTTGAGTTGTCTTCAATCCTTTATCTGTCAAGCAATCAAGGGTGAGGACATTCCAGCCATAGTAGAGCCCTGACTTCCCGTTCCAGTGGCTTGCTAATCCAAAAATGTCTAAATTTCGCTAGGTGATTAGGAAGCCTCCATTCTGAGGACATCTGGCATCGGATGGTCTTAGGGTCAAATAATGTGTATCCAGGAACAGGTCGTCCTCTTGGTGTGGAGAGTGTTCGTGTGAATTGTCAACACGAAGAGCACAAGGTTTCGCCTACAAAGGACTCCCGAACATATTTGAAATCTGGAGTAGGAAGATCTTGCCTGTCCTCATCACCTTGCGACATGGAATCATTCACTCTCCATTCGTCCAGAATGTCCAACGCATTAGAAGGGTAATCGTCATCCTCCTCTGAGGAAGAGGTGGTGCGTTTGGAAGAGGTGGTGCGTTTAACCAGCTCTTTGCCCATCTGGTCTGGAGTACCCTGAGCTGCCTTTCCTAAGGCACTTGGTAAGGGGTGGAAAGTTCTTAGTGGACATCTCTGAACACAATGCTTTCTCATCTCGGGGCGGGGACATGCCCGCAGATTGAACACCTCGGGAGAAGGTTGGGTTAGCCTTTTGGAGAGAGCTTTCTCTACTGAAGCTGACACTATAGCATTAATTGTGGACTGAAAGTCCTGGGTTTGTGGTGGTGAGTCAGTTATAGTGAAGCGTGGCTATTCCTGTGGGAGAGAGGACATACGCTAGTCTCCGGTCAAGGCGAGATTCCAGCCTGCCGGGCATTCCTCTTGGAGTACAATCAGGGTTAGCCCTTAGATAAATCCTACACCCAACCGCAGATACCTCTCAGAATAATGTGAGGGTTCACCCATCACTGACGCTCATAATGAAGGGCTAAATTGTCAGGGACAGACACCATGAAGTAGGCGGAGGCGCTGACAGCCTCCAGAATGCAAGGAACAATCCTTGAACCCCTTTCGGCGGGGTAGGTACCATATAGTCGGATCTCTGTGTAATAATCCCAAAAGGGTTAAGGTACCATAGTAATGCCCTTAATATGTTTGTCAAATGAGGCTCATCCTAATTGTACTGCAGGGGTTCAACCCAGTGTGCAATGAGATCTGTGGTCTGCACCAACAGGCAAGTAGACATTTATTATACATATGCATATATATACCATGTGGATAGTAGATTAGGCAGTGATATATTTTTAATAGTATTGAAGTTTGAGCAGGTTAGGCAGAGGTCCACTTTAAACATAACCGCAATAGAGGTTTCAGAGAAGCAGGTACTAAATCCCTTACTTGTATACAATAGCACAGTCCTGAACTGAACATTCCAGCAGGAGGTTGTTCTGCGAGGCAGGCAATGCGGTTTCTCTGTGGCTTCAGTGATAGAGGGCGATGATCCCAGCAAGATAAGTATGTTCCAGGGTCCAATATCGCTAGTGTGTGCGCCAGATGGCCTGCAACAACAAACCAAAATGGCCACCGTGAATCTTGCATGTTAAGAAATCCAAAATGGCCGCCACATGCGAAGACCCAGAAATAACTCCTAAGGGTCCGGGGGAGCAGCAGTATGCAGCAGAAAGGAGTCTCAGCTACCCACCACACCCCAAACTTGGTCCAGAAAACCCCAAACACAAACTGCAAACCGGTAAAGAGCCCAGTTAGCGCACCAATAAAGCAGGCCACGGCGTGAGCATCAGACAGAAGGGGTATAGAGTGTGTTAAAGGAAGCCTTTAGTTTTCTTAGACAGTAAGAAAAGTGGGGAATAAAGTACAGAAAATAACTACAGACCAGGATAGGGAAAGGGATGTAGCAATGATCAGTGTAAGAGTAAACAGAGAAGTAAAAAAATCACATCATCATGAAAAACACAATGTAGATGTAAGAGAGCCAATACTCTGACCTGTGCCCAACAGAAGCAGCAAAGAAAGAGGAGGAGTCAAGGCTATATATAGTTCAAGGCTGTTTATTTTTTATTGGTTTAAACTTTTTATTGATCTGTGTTGCTGGAGTTTTTAGTAAAGAAAGTTATGCAAAAATTATATTAAAAGAAAAAACAGCAAGAGAAATTATACCCATACTTTTGGGTATAATTTCTCTTAAATGACTTTTCAGCAGTTAAATGGATAATGTGTACACTTCCTCCCCATCTCTTTACTAATCGTCGACATCAAATTATTAGCCATTTGGAATTGAGACAATCCCGTCCCATCTCTTTACTAAACGTCGACATCAAATTATTCACTAAATTACTAGCGAACCGTGTCCGGCCTTTTCTCCCAAAGCTAATCCATCCAGATCAAGCAGGTTTTATTTCCTCTCGACAAGCATGCAATATCACGATGCAAATATTCGACTTGATCTCTACAAGCAACCATAGGAAAATCTTCACACTATTCCTCTCCCTCAAAGCCGAAAAAGCATTTGATTGCATACTGTGGCCCCTCCTATTCGCTACACTTTCCAAATTAGATTCTGGGAAATCCATTCTTACAGCTATACAAGGATTATACCCTTAACCAACGGCAAACCTACTGATTCCAAATGTCCACACCCACATTTTCAGTATTCAATGGCACACGCCATGGATGCCCCCTTTCTCCACTTCTATTCGCCCTATCCGTGGAACCACTCCTCCAAAAGATATGAGCAGACAAAAACATGCATCAAAATCGGCAACGACGAATGCAAATTAGCTGCGTATTCTGATGACCTCCTCCTGATAATTATCGAACCCACGCTCTCACTTCCCCTGCTCCTGGCTCTACTAGCTCAATATACTGACAAATCTGGGTACAAACTTAAAGGGACACTGCAGGCACCCAGACCACTTCTGCCCATTGGAGTGGTCTGGGTGCCAACTCCCACTACCCTTAACCCTGCAAGTGTAATTATTGCAGTTTTTTATAAATTGCAATAATTACCTTGCAGGGTTAACTCCTCCTCTAGTGACTGTCTGCTAGACAGCCACTAGAGGGCACTTCCGTATCTATACAGGTTTTCTGTGATAGAGCGTCGCTGGACGTCCTCACGCTGTGTGAGGACCTCCAGCGTCACTCAATTCCCCATAGGAAAGCATTGAAAAGCATTTCCAATGCTTTCCTATGCAGAGCTCTAATGCACGTGCGCGGCAATTGCCGCGCATGCGCATTAGGTCTCCCTGGCCGGCCGGCGGCATCAGTCTCGCCCACCGGCTGACGTAAGGAAGGGGAGGAGCGGTGGCGACCTGAAACCACCGCCGAGGGTTTTCACCCCTTCAGCAATCGGGGATGGGGGGTTGAAGGGAGAGGGGACCTGCAGTGCCAGGAAAACAGATTGGCACTGGAGTGTCCCTTTAACCTGGACAAAACAGAAGCAATGCTCATTCATATTCCGCCTCAGACAATCTACGCTTTAAAACAAAGCACCCCTTTCACTTTGAAGACCAAAAACTTCACTATCTAGGCATCTACCAGCAGATTTACACAGGACGTACCAAATGAACTAGTCCTCGAAGCAGCACACAAAGACCTACAAACCTGGCAAAACGTATCTATCTCCTGGATAGGTAGACTGGCCGCAGTAAAAATTAACCAGCTCCCCCACTTCCTTTATCTTTTCCAGGCTCTCCCTGTCCCCATTTCAAGACGCTCCAAACACAGATAGATAAGTTTGTTTGGGCTGGGGAAAAAGCCAGAATAAAGAGACTCATGATGTATGCCCCACATAAAGCTAGGGGCCTGGGATTACCAAACCTTCTATCAGGCAGCCCAAATGGGCCAAATCCCAAACCTTCAAGCCCCAGCAGGACTAAAAATATGGGTCGACCTGGAACACAACATATTCGGCAGGGATTTCCCCTCCCTTTACATCTGGCTCCCAAAACAGGACAGACCATGGATACAATCCATGACACCGGCAGTGACTAACTTCATACAGGTATGGGACTAAGGCATCAGTAAACATGACATTGTAATTAGACCCTAATCCCTATCGCCAGTACTAAGAAATAATAAATTTTCTCCGGGCATGACTCCACAACACTTTCGACAATTTGAAGAAAATGTCCTCCTCAGAGTTTATCAGTTCTTCCACAACCAACAAATCCTCCAATTCCGAGACCGGCCCCAGATCACGCCATTCACCACATTTGACTACTTTAGATACCTCCATATCAGCAGCTTCCTGACAAATGCACGAAACAAACCGGTGGCCATCTCCAAACTCACCGCTTTTGAAAAAACATGCATACAGACCCCAATTCAAAACGGACAAATATACTCAAACTATAACCTTTTGCACCACACCACTTCTCCACAGGCATTGTTGTACGTGTCACCTTGGGAGAGGGACTTGGGCATGCCAGAGGACCCCTCGGACTGGCATGAAATCTTGGAGGCCACGGCATCAGAATCTATATGTGTCAAGCACAAGGAGCAGGCATATAAGACCTTGTTTCAGTGGTACCTAACACCCCTTATACAAAAACAGATGACACGAGACAGATCGGACCTGTGCTGGAAGGGCTATGGGATGACAGGCACCTATATCCACCTATGGTCCTCTGCTCGGTCCTCCTATGGACCCCTGGACCTGGTTGCTATCCAAACCAATCAGCGATCTCCACAGAGCCCAAAACAAGTTTATCAAAAAAATAGCCGTAGCCACTATAAGAACCATTGCCAGGCATTGGGGGAGCACAGACATCCCCGCTTTAACTGAGGTCCTGGAGAAAATAGAAGAGACAAAGGAAATGGACAAACTGTCAGCACTTGTCCATGAAAACAAAAAAATTTTACCATAAAATCTGGGACCCCTGGACTGGAGGAACCCAGAGTGTACCTTAAGGGAGCAGGACGAGACCTGGACATCTCCACCCCCTCTCCCAAGTTCTTCTCACACTTATTTCCCCCTCTCTCCTTTTTTCTTTTTTTCCCCCTCTCTTTACAAACCCCCCAACCTTTCCACCACTACATCTGTACTGCCAAAGGGTGTCTCTTCGGAGACACAGTAACCACATACACTGCATAAAAGCCTTTACAATACAGACACACATACACCAACTGATGGTGATGGTGTATCACAGTCATAGCATGATACACTGTTACTATTAATATATGTGGCAATGTTAACCCCTGTTAAACCTTGTTATCAATTTTTACTATGTCTGCACACATTCCTGATGATGTACTGGTGTTATTCCACCCTGAAACTGCTGTAACACTTCACTTTTACTATTATTGTAAGTTACTTTCTGTCATTTTATCTATTTATGAACAAAATAAAAATTCCAGAAATAAAGAATTAAAAAACAAAACAAAAGGATAATGTGTGAAATGTTATCACATTTAATAAAATGTTTTGTCACAAATTGTCATCTATTGATATATGTGCTATTAAATGCAATGTGTGTGTATTTTTTATATCTAGTTACTAGTAGTTTTGTGGCATTTTTAGACCTCCTAAATGTATCATTGATTGTATACGGTTGCATAAAACTTTGAAAGAGGTATGGGTTACTACTGTACCCCAATAAACTAGTAACAAACAAGTGACTTCTTGTGTGTTTAAGTTTCTGCTCGCTCGCATGTATAATGTACGCCTGTCGCAGTTATGTAAGCTGTGTTGCTGAAAAACTATAAAAGCTGGGATTTTCTGTTATTTCGCAGAAGCTCCACCTGTGGATGGACACATCGCGCAGGACTGTCCTAATTTACCTGAAACTCTAGGCTAGGATTAAAAAAGGGGGTTTTCCTAGCCTAGTTCTACAATAGATTAATCAGTGATGTATTTACTTTTAAGCTTCTCCCAATTAAGACTGACTCCTGGTGCAAGCTTGGATGTTGATTTTCTGCATTAATCATTGATGTAATGCTAATCCTTGTAAGTAGATTCTACTATATTATCCTTTACTTTTGTAAATATTCTTTAGCAACACTATAGATCTATTCTTCAATAATACTATTTTATTATGTAATAAAAACATTCATTATTCACCCACTCAATTGGTGTCATATTCTGCATTCTTGAACCTTATGAAAATCAAGCAAAACATTTTGGTGTTAGAAGTAGGATGCAGGTAAAGGCACATTGTTGAGGGTAATGGTTGTTTTTGTGTGTTATCTGCCTCTCTGGTGGTCCTGGTAATAATGTTTGGGGCTTTTGTATGCAATATTATAAATATCCAGTGGGTGGGTAAATGGTCCCCCTCTTTTTTTTAAAGGGTTAAAAGTCTGTATTTTTAATGCAGTTATTGTAAGTTATATTGTGTTGGATTATAATAGTAAGTTGAACCCAGAAAACATGCCTTGAAGGGTTTCAGTTAGATGGAGAGAGATATTAAAATTTAGGGGTGTGAAGGAGGTTATGCTAGGGGCTGTGTTGTTCTGAGAACATTCTAGTGAGATACATAATATATAATGTAGATAAATGCAATTTAGAGCAATAATAAAGATTATTGTGATTTTAAACAAATTTCTAAAGCATGTTTTATGTAGTCTACTGTCACATAGAAACATATAAACATAGAAACATAGAATGTGACGGCAGATAAGAACCATTCGGCCCATCTAGTCTGCCCAATTTTCTAAATACTTTCATTAGTCCCTAGCCTTATCTTATAGTTAGGATAGCCTTATGCCTATCCCACGCATGCTTAAACTCCTTTACTGTGTTAACCTCTACCACTTCAGCTGGAAGGCTATTCCATGCATCCACTACCCTCTCAGTAAAGTAATACTTCCTGATATTATTTTTAAACCTTTGTCCCTCTAATTTAAGACTATGTCCTCTTGTTGTGGTAGTTTTTCTTCTTTTAAATATAGTCTCCTCCTTTACTGTGTTGATTCCCTTTATATATTTAAATGTTTCTATCATATCCCCCCTGTCTCGTCTTTCCTCCAAGCTATACATGTTAAGATCCTTTAACCTTTCCTGGTAAGTTTTATCCCGCAATCCATGAACCAGTTTAGTAGCCCTTCTCTGAACCCTCACTAAGGTATCAATATCCTCCTGAAGATACGGTCTCCAGTACTGTGTACAATACTCCAAGTGAGGTCTCACCAGTGTTCTGTATAATGGCATGAGCACTTCCCTCTTTCTACTGCTAATACCTCTCCCTATTCAACCAAGCATTCTGCTAGCATTTCCTGCTGCTCTATTACATTGTCTGCCTACCTTTAAGTCATCAGAAATAATCACCCCTAAATCCCTTTCCTCATATGTTGAGGTTAGAACTCTATCAAATATTCTGTACTCTGCCCTTGGGTTTTTACGTCCAAGATGCATTATCTTGCACTTATCCACATTAAATGTCAGTTGCCACAATTCTGACCATTTTTCTAGTTTACCTAAATCAGTTGTCATTTGGCTTATCCCTCCTGGAACATCAACCCTGTTACATATCTTAGTATCATCAGCAAAAAGACATACCTTACCATCAAGACCTTCTGCAATATCACTAATAAAAATATTAAAGAGAATGGGTCCAAGTACAGATCCCTGAGGTACCCCACTGGTGACAAGTCCAAGCTTCGAATATATTCCATTAACTACAACCCTCTGTTGCCTGTCACTCAGCCACTGCCTTACCCATTCAACAATATTGGAATCCAAACTTAAAGATTGCAGTTTATTGATAAGCCTTCTATGTGCAACAGTGTCAAAAGCCTTACTGAAATCTAGGTAAGCAATGTCTACTGCACCACCCTGATCTATAATTTTAGTTACCCAATCAAAAAAATCAATAAGATTAGTTTGGCATGATCTCCCTGAAGTAAACCCATGTTGTCTCTGATCTTGAAATCCATGTGTTTTTAGATGTTCATCAATCCTATCCTTTAACATGGTTTCCATCACTTTCCCCACTACTGAAGTAAGGCTTACTGGCCTATAGTTGCCCGACTCCTCCCTATTACCTTTCTTGTAAATGGGCACAACATTCGCTAACTTCCAATCTTCTGGGACTACTCCTGTTAACAATGATTGGTTAAATAAATCTGTTAATGGTTTTGCTAGTACACCACTAAGCTCTTTTAATAGCTTTGGGTGTATTCCATCAGGTCCCATTGACTTATTTGTCTTTACTTTTGACAGTTGAAATAGAACCTCTTCCTCTGTAAACTCACGTGTAATAAATGACTCATTTATCCTTTTTCTCAACTGAGGTCCCTTTCCTTCATTTTCTTCTGTAAATACAGAACAAAAATATTCATTGAGGCAGTCAGCCTGACCTTTATCCTCTTCTACATACCTTCCTTCTTTTGTTTTTAATCTAACTAATCCTTGTTTTACTTTTCTTTTCTCATTTATGTATCTAAAAAATGTTTTATCCCCCTTTTTTACTGACTGTGCTATTTTCTCTTCTGTGTGTGATTTGGAAGCTCTTATAACTTGCTTAGCCTCTTTCTGCCTAATCTTATAGACATAACTGAGTATTATTGCTGTGGAGCTCTTTTATATAATTACACATATCAACAATATTGAGATTCTAAAAAGAGAGGCAGAGAGATCTTGAATCAAAAGAGAGACTGATTCTATTAAGAGGGGAATTTTTGAGGTATCGGAGTGTATGGTTTATTCAGATATCCTATTTGTGACTGTAAAATAGAGAAGGATTTCCATGATGACTTAGTATAATTATAAAATGATTTCAGTGGTATTCTGGATTGAGTGAGAGTTTTAATTAATAATGTTAGTATTTAACGTGGTATAGCTGAAATTTAAATAATTCTTTTGATCTGCTTACCCGTATGTGGATCTTATGTGGATTATATTACTGTAGCGGACCCCGGGTAACCCGACTGGTTACCTCCGCTAATTCCTCCTCTCAGCCAGACTGGAACCGTTAAACACTTTAGCATACATTCCCCCAGTAACTAGGCGAAACATAGTTCTGTGAGTCAACTGATTTTATTCAGGCCACACACAGCTTTTATGCACTAACCCCTAACATGGGGTCTCCAACACAAAATTACAGGGTTTTCTTTCCCAGGATCGACTGTGTCTGAGAGATAATTGAGTGAGAAAACTATAACTCAATTAAAACACAAATGTGACAAACTGCATTGGAGAAGACTGATTGCCAGCCCTCTGCCATGTGACTATGGCCCATGGGATGTATTGCCCTTTAAGGAACTGAGTTGGGGCTTATGGACTTATATTGTACTGCATCTGACCCTTTAAGAACTGCATTTGGACATAATGGAGTTTTATTGTGCTGCTGCTGGCCCTTTAACTCCTAGAGAAAGGATTTGTACTTTTAAACTGGCACTACGGATGCAGTTGAAGTGCCGAAGTAGTCAAAGTGGCCGCCATTCGAAAACTGAACACGTGGCGGCGGCCATTTTAAGTTAGTTGAACATGGTCAGCGGTGTGTGCCCATGAATCCATGGAACTAAAAATCGGCTACCCATTTGCACAAACACCGCTGACCCGTACCTTCTCCTCCACTTCGACACTGCAGCTGAAGACTAAGTCCCGATCGAAGATTCGAACGCTCATTCGAATGGGACTTAGTCATTTTTTCAGTGTAAAATAGACTGACCGCAAAGCCCAAATCTATGGAACTATTTTGGGCAGAAAAATGTGCTTGCGGTCGGTCATAAAGGGACCTCCACCTAACTTTTTAACCCCTGAACCGATTGCTCTGATTTTTGAGTATGTTTATGTTTAAAGTATGCTGATTCTGAAAATGTGTTATGTGCACGTGTTATGTGAATGGCATGTATATTTTGGGAGTTATTAATATTTTGTAAAAACTGTATATTTTCTGCCTTTGATAATTAAGTTAGTCTATTGTGCTGAGATAATTGTATCACAGGCAGAGGGGAGGATTGTGTGTGTAATTGTCGGGAGTGGCTTAGTGTATTATACGTATTGATTGGTTGTTCTGCAAAACCCTGTGGGCAGTACTATGTGTGTGAAACAAAAGCAGAGTGATTAAAGAGTTCCTGGGAACACCAAGCAAGCATGATACATTGCTATGAGGGTGACGATTTTATTGTGGCGGTAAAGAGGCGGCTAGCCAGGTATGGCCCAGATCCTCCAGATGTGATGATCGACCTATTTATGCAAGAGGTGTATGAGGAGAACCGAGCGGTGTGGCACCTCGAGCTCGAGTTGTACAGATCGGGACTGTGGATACCCAAGCCTCCTTCCCAGTGGCAGGTTAAGTCCCAGGGAGAGGATACAACCGGTCTTTCTCCCCAGCAGCAGTGTGTTCTGCAGGGAGAGGAGGAAGCCAGCCTCTCTCCCCAGCGGCAGTGTTCCCTACAGGGAGTGGAGACAGTCGGTCTCACTCCCCAGCGGCAGGATGAGTCCCAGGGAGAGGAGACAACTGGTCTCTCTCCCCAGCAGCAGTGTATTGTGCAGGGAGAGTAGGCAGCCGGCCTCTCTCCCCGGCGGCAGTGTTACCAGCAGTGTGTACTGCAGGGAGAGGAGGCAGCCTGCCTCTATCCCCAGCAGCAGAGTGAGTTCCAGGGAAAGGAGACAACCAGTCTCTCTCCCCAGCAGCAGTGTTTTCTGCAGGGAGAGGAGGCAGCCAGCCTCTCTCCCCAGCGGTGGTGTTCCCTACACGGAGCGGAGGTAAACGGCCTCACTCCCCAGGGGCAGAGGGAGTTCCAAGGAGAGGAGACAACCGGTCTCTCTCCCCAGCAGCAGTGTGTTCTGCAGGGAGATGAGGCCAGCACCCTCTTTCTCCAGCGGCAGCTTATCCTACCAAGGCGCAGATGGGACCGTGGTCTCTGTGCCTGACCCACAGGGATGCTGGACAGCCGGTCCAGATCCCCAGCTAAAATCGCAGGAGTACCAGGAGGAGGGGGTAAGTGATGTCTTCCCTCCCCAGCCAAGTCCCCACCAGGCTACCCCAGCAGAAGCGCAGCTGGCCTCTGCCCCCCAAGTCCCCACAGCGTGTTGTCCAGTTACCTCAGAGGAATACCCAGGTGCAGTAACTGTTTGTTGTGAGTGGGCTGCTATTGTAACTGTTTGTTGTGGG